CAATTGGTAGTCTTAAATTATTTCATCGTTCTCTTCAGCATCTCCCACAACCTATCCGCAGGTTCCTCGTTTCCTCATTGATTTTCCCCTACTTTGACTATGGCTGTGTGGTATACGGTGGCCTCTCGTTGGAGCTTGAGGACAGACTGAAGAGAATCATGAACTGTTTTTTAAGATTCGTCTTCGGCACTTCGAGATGGTCTCATGTGTCCCACCTATATGCCGAGTCAAAGTGGCTCTTCCCTCTTCCCGCCGCCTATACTTCCTTGGAAATTTCTTATACCAAACGATCAACTCCCAGCACCCTTCTTATATCTGTTGTCTCCTCCAGCCTAAACCCTTAGTCCACTCAATAAAAACGAGATCCCGTGTTTCTGACCTCTATATTCCATTCCACAGGACAAAAACCTATGAACGTTCCTTCTTATCCCGCTCCGTCTCCTACTGGAATTCTATGCCACATAACATCCGTCATGCCTCTTCCCTGTCAACTTTCAAATACTTCCTTTTCCAATATCTCTTTACATCCCAAACAGAAGATTTACCACCATAAATTTCATTTTATGAACTGAATTTGCGTGAAGTAAATAATGGTGCCTACTGTTTAAGTTTTAACATAAAACAGCAATGATCTTTGTCACCTAGTTTGACTATTATTTTGACTATTTATTTATTTTTCTCTTCTCCTCAGGTTGTGCTTTATCTTTCGGGTAAATATGTTACACCTTTACACCACAAGTATCCTAAGATTTTGTTTTATCTTAGTGTTTGCATATTATTATATAAACCACTGTAGATATTATTAAATTTTGTATTAAGTTAGTTTTCTATTAGATAGCCTATTGTTTATAAATTGTGTAGTTATGTATATATAAATATGTAATTTCTCTTCTTTTTTTTTTTCCATCACAATTAAGTAATTTTGAGAAGATTTTATGTTCATTTGTATATATATTTTATTTTTTACTGGTTACATACTTTTTAAATAATGTATATAATATTAAAATTTTTATAAGTTACTTTTTGGCCAGATTTGTACTTTACTTTGTATCATTGTTATTCTAAAGGGACTTAGTTCCAGAATAAAATTTAATTTTCTATTCTATTCTATTCTATTCTAATAATTGTGTGTTTTATGGTGGCAACTAGGAATGAAAAAGAATAAGTCAGCCTGCAGAAAGATCCATTTTCAAAGCATTTTATTTGAGGTTATATATGTCTTATTGTTGATACATTGTTCAATTCCTTTCATTGGAGTAACAAAGCAACAGAACTAGGGGACTCAACTTTAATATTCTCGAATCTAGTGATGCCGGTTTGAATCCAGCCTGGACAGGTTAAAATTCATTTTGTGGCGGACCCACAAAATGAATCTTTACCTTCGCATTCTGGTTAGTATTAGTTTCGTTGTGCTTCTATTACAACCCCTCCGACCTTATGCCTGAAATATCGAGGTAGGGAGTAATTAAAGTAAAGCGACAATTTGGAATTAATAGATTTATCCACTTCAGCAATCATCAATAATCATGAAGTTGGTTAACGTATAAATTAGTGTTTAGAGCATCAATCATTCTTCTAACCCCTATATTGGAAAAAAAAAAGAAGAAATTATTTTATCATAATAAAATATTACATATTATAGATGCATACAGAGTACAAATTATATATTTGTTTATAAAAAGTATTTTATTTTCCATTAAAGTTATGATGGGATCACTGAAAACAGGAACATTGAAAATAAATCCTTGATACCCAAAGCTTGTTTTATTTATTTTGTATATCTTCAGTCAAATGGGTTTCAATCCCTTTTTCAGAAGGAGCAGTTTGGCTTGTTGGTTGGTACAAAGGTAACACAACTTTAAACAACAATTGGAATCTTATAAAAAAAAACAATGTAATGTTAAATAAACTTTTTTTATTCTAGGATATATTATACTATTTTAAAGCACTCAGGATTCATGAACATCTGAATGGTAATTTTAGTCTCATACAACGAAATATTGCTGTCGCAAATAAACTTGTAGTTAATCAAATAGGTTTTGTGCCAATCTATAGATGCAGATTTCTTTTCGATTATAAAACTAATAGAAATTTATTGAATCATCCATTACTCCACATGTAACAGGAAAATAAGTTATAAAATATTTTTTAAATAGTAGTGAAGCAGACCAGCTCTCCTATTTAATCCTTTTCAAATGCATTTTCTTCAGTTTGGTTTCGATGTTAAGAGCCATTCAGTTCGATGACTTTCTTAAGGGCCGCCCCTAACCGGTGTAAGAATACAGATCTCATTCACCCACGGGTCGGATGATGTTGTTGGGGGGTTTAACCCGCCTGTCGTAAAAGGCGACAGAAAGGTGTAGGACACCGATCCTGACCGATGTATGTATGGTAGGGGACCCTCGGAGAATCAGCAGATAGCTTGGTGACAGGCTATCGGGCTCCTGACCTGTGGGACTAGCTGTTCGCGAGTGACCTAGCTTATATTACCAGTAGGCTCTACGGAGCCGGAAAGCGTGACTCGTTAAAATTATGAGTTACTGACCTGATGTCTGGAGGGGATTTGACGGCCAAGTTACCAGTCTTAGAGGGATACTAGAAGCCAGTTCAATGGTGCGCTGATGGAGCGAGATCCTCATCGTCAGTGAGTGGTTTATCACGGATCGTGTAGCTCCACGGGCACTACTTGATCGGGCCAAGACCTGCGATACCGCATCTCGAGGTGCACGCCTGAAGCGGTAGGATGCTTTCGGGCATCTGGAGTCGTGATCTGCTTTCTCTTTAATGAATGCAGGTGCCATGGGCGTTAGGATTTTGCCATCCTGGGTTTGAATTCGTGGTGGCCGTGGTTGAGACCCAGGCTTTGGGGAGTAAGGCGCAGGCCTCACGCGTTGTGAGCTGCGTTAACGCTCCGCCACTGACCTGATTAGCCATTAGCGCTTTAGATAGAAGCGGCGTTCACCGTAGCGTGGGGAGTAAACGTGCATTTACAATCCATTATGGTAGTCTGACCAGACACTTTAGAGAACAGGAGGTACTTTAGAGGAAGACGTATATGAACATTGGGCATTTAAGCTCTGTAAGATGGCATTAATTGGGATAAGACCTAAATGATATTAAAGACCAATTAGTCATACAATAATACACTGATTTTAATCAAAATCGTTAGAGCCGTTTTTGAGAAAATTGTAAAAATGTTTTTCACCGTTGATATAATGTGCCACTTCCGGTTAGCCGATTTTAAGGAAAACGTTACCGTAACATCTGAGTCATATACCTATCTTAAATACCTATTTTGAACGACTTTTCGTTTTGAGCTATACTGTTCACATACACACAGACCAATTTTCGGGACTTAGTTATTTGGCCTCAGGGGACCTCAAAACGTGTATTTCTGTTGATAACTCAGATTCGAAACTTTTCGCGATCGCAATACTTTCCCTTACTATGCATTACATATATACGTAAGTGAAAGTAAAAGCAATTTTTTTTGTACAGTACTTTCATTGTGTGAAAGAAGTAAAATCTGGTGCGCGCAACACACAACTTTCACCGCTCAACTGTGAATAGAAATTATTTTCTGGCCATGTTGGGTTATTATAAAATTTTTGAATTGCATTTTTAACTGAGCTAAAGCTAAAGGATTACAGCTAACAAATCATAAATACTATTAAAATAACAAAAATAACCTATTTATTATATCACCGGTTGATTATGGATTGTACGATTCGTTGATTATAGATTGCACGATCCGTTGATTATGGATTGTACAACTATTATTTATTAAACTGTTATTTTTCATTGCAAAGTTTTCTAAAACGGAATTGTCTATCATAGACAGGTCAAAAGCTGTCACACTAATTGTAAGTGGATACTGTTGAAATACCACAAAATGAAAATTCAGCAAACTATTCATTAATTTAATTTTCTAAAAGATTATTTGATGATTTTTCGGAATAAACGGACGATAGATACCTAAATATTTAATAACAATATCAGATCTAGAGTTATTAAACTACAGTAAATATATTTAAGGTTATAAACGTATCTATGAAGTATTTTTATATTTCACTGGTTCTTTCTCTCAAGTACAATGAAATAGTACTAGGTACTGTTGGAATATCACAGATGGAAGATTCATCAAATTATTCAGTTATTTAATTTCCTAAAAAAGTTACATGACAATATTTCGGAATAAACGGACGTTGATACCTAATTATTTAAATATAATATCAGATCTAGAATTATTAAACTACAGTAAATGTATTTAAGGTTATGCTTTATACATCCATGATATGATTTTATATTTTACTTCTTCATTCACACAAATACAATGACATTTGTAGACTTTTTGCATATCTTTCACTGTATCCTTCAATAATTCTCTTCATGGATGTTCACCGATTCCTGGAAATCCATTTCCCCTTCTTCTTCCATGTCACGGGCGGATCTACGGGGGGGGGAGGGAGGCTTTCGGACTGAAGCCTCCCCCCTAAATGGGAAAATATAACCATGTTTTATCGAAAAAAAGATTAAAAAATTATCTCTCAAAGTATTATTGTTCGTGTAATTACATTTAAAAGGGCTTTAGGAATTACTTAAACACCATTTCACATTGGTAGTTAGTTTCTTTCTTTTTTTCCAAAGTAATTATCGTTATGTTTATGAAAAAAAAGCTTTCGGGCTGAAGCCCCCCCCCAAAATTAAATCCTGAATCCAGTAGTGTCTACAGATATTATTTTCTGGCAATGCTGGACTATTATAAAATTTTTGAAGAGCATTTTAAACGAAGCTAAAGCTTAAAGCTTACAGATAAACAAGTCATTAAGACCATTATAATTACAAAAAGTCTATTTATTATATCGACGGTACGCAATAAAAATCTAGTCACTCCATCTGCTTTTATAAACCACAGATCATTTTCTGAGCCTTTCAGTTGAAACAATGACTAACTCCAATTTCAACACTTTTTGACATTTTAGTGATATTTTTAGTTAAAAATGTTATCTATACAGACAGTGAGTAAGTTGATTCCGGAAGAGGTGACTGCAGTGTTGAAATATAGAACTGAGAATAAAGGTATAAATTTTGCCACTAGAAACATCACTAAAATTAATAATAAAGAATGTTGAAATTGGAGTTATTTATTCTGTCAACCGACAGGCTCATATATGCCTAGAGAGTTTTGAAAGTATATCTGAATATTTAACCTATAAATGATTATGGATCGTAGGACTATATGTTATTTTTTTTTCGCAGCTCTCCGTTGCCTTTTACAACTTTCTGTATTATATATTGTTTTTTCTAAAATTCTTCGCTTTCCAACGATATATTACACGTATTACTTCTGACTAGTATTTCCGGAGATTCATTTTCGACCTGGATAAACATTTTTATATTTTTCTGTTTTATTCAATTATCAAATTCTTTCAAAAGTTATATTTATCATTTTTTCGTAACTTTTAATAATGCGAAATGATTAAATATTTAAAATAAACCATATTGAAGGTACTAAGGAAGCCGTATATGAACATTGGGCATTTAAGCCCTTTAAAGTGATATCAATGGAGATAAAACCTGATTGATATTAAAAACCACTTCATTATACAATGATACATCGAGTTTAATCAAAATCGTTAAAGCCGTTTTTGAGAAAGTTATAAAAATGTGTTTCAGCGTTGATATATAGTGGTACTTCCGGTTAGCCGATTTTAAAGAAAACGTTGCTGTCACATCTAAGGCATATCTTAAATACGTAATATCAGTTTCGTGCGGCTTTTCGTTTTTGAGCTAGACATACAACACACAGACACACAGATCATTTTTCGGGACTTGGTTATTTGGACTCAGGGTACCTCAAAACTTGTATTTCCGTTGAAAACTCAGACTTGAAAATTATCACGACCACAATACTTACACTTACTATATATTTCATATATACGTAAGTGAAAGTAATACTATATATTTCATATATAAGTAAGTGAAAGTAATAAATCATGTGGTATCTGAATGTTCTATATACATGCTCAACACTCCTGGGCTTTATATTTTTGGGGGTTAGAAAAGAGGATATATTGCCCTTTTATTCTGGTGATTTTGACTAAGTTATTTTTTTGTGGTCCTCCCCTTCCTCGCCGTTAAGGCTATACGGGGTTTCACGGGCCAGAGGGTGTTGGCGGGGATTTAAAAGATGCCTTGGCACTGGGACGCAAACTCGTGACAATTTTTATATCATTTGTCATATATCAGGTTGCCGGGCAACGGTGGTGCTGTGCACATGCGTTAGCCCATTCGGCCACCCCGCCCACTTTTGACTAAGTTATTGGTAATTTTTCTCTCTCTCTTCTCTCTCTCCCTTTCCCTCTCTCCCTCACTCCTTCTCCCTCTCCCACTCCCTCTCACTCCCTCTCACTCACCCACTCTCTCCCACCTCTCTCTCACCCTCTCTCCTTCTCCCTCACCCACCCCTCTCGCGCTTTCCCACTCACTCTCCCACTCCCCCCTCTCTCTCACGTTTTCATGATATAAGCGCCGAACCGAAAATAAGTAACATGGGTGCCTCCCTGCCCACACCAGCTCACCCAAGAGTAGGGACTTTCATTATGTTTATCTCCTATTTATTTACTAGTCACAATATAGGAAAATTCCACCGCTGGAATTGTTCCAGTTCTCGTTCCGTTCCGTCTTAGTTCCGAATAACACTTGAAACGAGATAAAGAATTATGAAGCAAATATGCGTAATACCAAAACTATTTAAAACGACAAACAGATTCTTCTTTTATTTGAAGGGGGGTTTTGTCTTGTTTACTATGAAGCAATTGATAATTATCTACATTAAAATTGTTTTAATTTTAATTATAAAACTAAATTATTTTTTGATTCCTATTGAATGAAAAAAAAAACACTTGAATAAGAAAGTGAAACATAAATTTTCTATTTTTCTGTGTGGAATCCGGCCGTAGTCCACTTGAGCTGTTTTGTAGCTCTTGAGTTATACCATCATCCCTTTTAATATTTCCTGTTAATTAAAGGACATTCTTTTACAAACGTCTGGGAACAACGATATCAAGTTATTATTAACTTTTATTTGATCCTTTGGTTTTAAATTTCTTTCACCAACGGTCCTTTCAAGAAGAAGCTTATTACAGTTATAATTCATTTGATTCAGTTATAATTCATTGGCAATTGGTTTAAGGATTTTTTTGCTTCATTTACAATAAAAAAATTCCCGAAAACTAGCTCGAATGATTTTTAGTTAAAATATAATTCTCTTTGGTACTGGCTTAAACTAGGCAGAAAAGTTGAAGATGAAAATAAATAAAGTTGTAAAGTAGGAAAGGATCAAATTAAAATTTATTACTAACAAAATTCAGGTCTAAAACAACTTAAAAATGAAAATATAAATTGAAGAAGTCAAGTTTTAGCTAGTCTGAGGTTCGTCTTCTTACGTTCTGACCTTTACAAGGTAAGATATTATAATCAGCTTATTTGAGACTCATTTTCACGCAACCACTAGCGGATCCAGAATTTAATTTTGGGGGGCTTCAGCCCGAAAGCTTTTTTTTTTTTATAAAAATGACGATAATTACTTTGGAAAAAAAGAAAGAAACTAAATATCTATATGAAATGGTGTTTAAGTGATTCCTTAAGTCCTTTAAAATTTAATTACACGAACAATAATACTTTAAAAGATAATTTTTTAATAAATTTTTCCGTAAAACATCGTTATATTTTACCATTTTGGAGGGGAGGCCTTCAGCCCGAAAGCCCCCCTCCCGTAGATCCGCCCGTGCACGCAACTGATCGTATCATACGTAAACAAAGAAGCAAATTAAATTTTATTCGATAAGATACAACAAGTTCCCCATTGTTTCAGCTAGTTCATACTAATTCTTAATAGGTTAACACAAGCTTAAAATTATATCTATGAACCTTTTATAGGAAGTGTATTTAAATGTAATCTATGCAGTTTACAATGCATTATTAGCATAACTGGTGCATCGAAGTTAGATATTCCATTTCGTCATAAGTTATCATTAAGAGCGAACGATATCGTATTTCATAAGTATATCCTTCCTTGATTAAGGTTGCTCCATATATATTCTATCAACAACGGAGACGATTCAATAGAAGTAGAAAGTTTTTCGAAATGGAACTTTCGACAACTCAGTTTTGGACTACTTTCTTCGCAGCCGTAAGTTACTTTTATCCTGAGTCCGTTGATCCATCATTGAAGCCACCGAATACTCCGCAGGAAAAATTGCTTGATGAATACACATTCATTGTTGTTGGAGCTGGTGCTGCAGGTCATTTCTCGATTTTATAACGTACAATAATTATTTTTATTTTATAGCATTTCCAAATCTCTTTCAGAATTTTTCAAACCTAATTTAGAACTTTCCAAATCAAATTGGTTTAACCAAATTTAGAATTTTCTATTTCAAATTAAGATTTTTCGAAATCAATTTAAGAATTTTTGCTAAGCCAAATTGATAGGTTATTTTAGTTTTCTTATTAAATTCCTTAGACGTAATGCCTAATATGAATAATAAGATTAGGCATTATAGCATTATAAGTCCAACTTTATTTTATTGATGAGGTAGGTTTTATTAATCTTCATCTTCGAAAGAACCAGGCAAGGTCAAAAGTATATACGCGTGCAATAGTTAAGCAGTGGACAATAGCGCCAGTTCCTGACCTGGCAATGGACAGCTAATGCACCTCTATATAGTGATGGGACCATATGGCCGGAGCTGTGATTCTGTCACTGTGACTGGGCCGGATCACAGTGACAGGCGCACCGAAATCACAGTGACAGTCACTGTAGGCGCTGTGAAATCACTGTACGCCAACAGTGACGATCACTGTTGGGGCTGTGAAATCACTGTCCTCCCAACAGTGACGGTCACTGTAGGCGCTGTGAAATCACAGCTCTGACCACTCCGCTCTATCACTTCTATTTCATTCTAGCAATCTGGGCATTGTTGACTTCATTTATTTAATAAATGAATTAAAGAAATAATCATGAAATAATTATTTCTAAAATAATAGTTATTCGTCAAATTTTATTAAAAATACTTTTTGAACTTCAGATGAATTGAGCATTCATTGCCATAAATTTCTGAATGAGTTATGTCTGAAATAATTAACAGGAAGTTTTTCATTTAACTGTTGAAATATAAATAAAAATATTAATTAAAAATTAAACAAATTCAAATAGTCTCTGCAGGGTAATCTGTACACAGAAACCAAAGGATCCCAGAGATATTTTCCCCCATCAAATATAAAATTTATCCCAGGAAAAAAAAAAATTTTAATATAAGTTTAAACGGGGACGGAGTGGCCGAATGGGCTAAAGCGTGTGCACAGCACCGCGAGTTGCCTGGCAACCGGATTACAGATTTGAGAAGATTTAAAAAGTGCGAGTTCGGGTCCCAGGGGATTTTAAATTCCCCGCCCTCACCCCCCGGCACAGGAAAATCCCGTGTAGCCTAAAAGGCGAGGTAGGGAAGAACAAAAAAAAAAAAAAAATAAGAATATATATATATGTATAAGTTTAAACATGTAAACTGTAATTTCACAGTGACGCTTTCGCCAAGGAGCCATTGTATATTTGACACCGGAAAAAAAATCACTGTGATTTGTCACAGTGATTTTCCCGGAGCTCTGTCACTGTTGGAGCTGTGATAGAAAATCTCTGTCACACCCCATCACTGCCTCTGTACTCAAGCGACAGCACTAGCGGATCCAGCCGGTGGGGCGCTCCCCCCTCCTCCGCCCTGAAACTTGGAAAAACATTCCAAGAAGCAGCTATTTAAAGAAAAAGGAAATATAGGAAAAATTCATCCTCATAGACAATAAATATCCTAAAGTAACATAAAAAAAAATTATTATCGTGACCAACATTAGCGAATTCTGCCAGGGGCGCGCCCTCCCATGGATGGGGGAGGGGAGAATTCCGATAAAGTGACAAAAACACAGGTTTAAAGAAAAGAGAAATGTAGGGAAAATTCATTCTCATACACGAATTTCCTAATGCAATGCAAAAAAAAAACAATTGTGACCAGCACTAGCGAATTCTGCCAGGGGGCGTGTCCTCCCTTAGAAGTTGGGAAAAATCCGAAAAAGAGTGGCAAAAACACCTATTTAAAGAAAAGAGAAATATGGAGAAAATTCATTATCATTCACGAATTTCCAAATGTAATAAAAAAAGATGTTATAATCGTGACCAACACTAGCGAATTCTGCCAGAGGGCGCGCCCTCCCTTAGATGGTGAAAAAACAACACCTATTTAAAGAAAAGGGAAATAGAGGAAAAATTCATCTTCTAAGTCGAACTTTCTGTGATATAAAAAGAATTATTATCGTGACCAGTACTAGCGGATCCAGCCGGGGGCGCGCACCTCTCTCTTCTGTATAGTTGGGGAAAAGTTTCAAAAAGCAGATATTTAAAGAAAGGAGAAATATAAGAATATTCATCCTCATAAAGGAATTTCTAATGTAATATAAAAAAAAAGTTATTATCGTGACCAGCACTAGTAATTTCTGCCACAGGGGCAGTAGAAAAATAATTCCAAAAAAGTATCCAAAAAAACAGCTATTTAAAGAAAAGAGAAAAATAGTAAAAGTCATCCTCTAAGACGAATTTTCTAATATGATCAATATCATCATCCTGAGCTCGAAACTCCATTCCTGGATCTTGGCTGCCTCAAAAGTTTTTCTGCATGTTTTGAGCAGCCTGAGCAGCCTCCACCAGTTCCTGATTCGATGGATTCTGGCATCAGTACTTACTCCATTTTCCATCTCAGGATGCATTGCAATCTCAAACAATTATCCTTGAAGAATCCATGGTATTCATAATACTAGTCACGACAATAATTTGTACATTTCTCACTAGAAAGTGTTGTTCTTTTCTTAGAATAGCTGCTGTTGGGAACGCTTTCATGAGGCAAGATACTTATTATTTGGTCGCCGATTTGATCGGAATCTGATTATGATTGGAATCAGAAATCATTCTGAGTTTTTGTTCTTAGAGAACCCATTTCCAAGCTACAGGGCCTTATATTGTAATCTTTCTTAGATTTTGACTATGTCGGTAAAAATTAGCGTTCATTGACCGTGGTGTTATGGATCATATCACTTAATCAAATTATTAAGTTTAGGTACTCGTTTGTTGATAAATACTAAATTAATTAAAGAAATAAACAAACGGCCTTCTTCTATATTCAAACGGCCAATTATTCCATTCATAAAACAAACATTACTTTGTTGCTTATCTAGTTTGCTCAAAATGAAATGCACAGTCCCTTCTACACAGCACATCTCGTTATTTATACCTTTGTAAATTAATTCTTACTACGTATATACTAAGATCCACAGATCAGATTTCCACTACAAGTTAATAAAAAATACTCTAATAATGGATTTATATATAAATGAAAAAAATCTGGTGTGTGCATCACAAGACTTTCACTTACAGTTTCTGTCCACGGTGCCATAGGTTGCTTTAAAGTCGACAAATAAGGTTTGTACATCCTGATCTACTTTCCGATAATGCACATCTCAGGAAAGCAATCACGGAAGTTTCGACGGCGGAATTGGTAGTTAAATAACTTTCTTAAGGGTGGCGATCATGTGATGTCACGTGTACTAGCGAAGGAGAAGAAAATCAGATAGATCCAATGGATGCTAACGCATTGAGAGCAGCCTTGGGGTGTCGGTTTCAGAGAATTGTCTTAAATATGATCCAGGTCGACGAAGACACCCCATGAGGGGGAGGAGAGGGTGGGAAGGAAAGGATAAGCTGAAGGAGGCATTTGAAGGGAGCCGATGGGCTCTGGAAGAAGACATCCGACAGATATTTTGACAAGTGGGCGGGGTGGCCGAATGGGCTAACGCGCTGTGCACAGCACCACCGTTGCCCAGCAACCTGATATATGACAAATGTGTTATAAAAGTACTCACGAGCTCGCGTCCCGGTGCCAAGGGGTCTTTTAAATCCCCGCCCACACCATCCCACACCGCCCGAAAAGCATGCAAAGCCCGAAGTGTACCTCTTCGGGTATTTGACAGGCCATTTTATCAAAATTGAAAAAAAAAATTAATTTAATTATTTACAACTAAACAAGTCACTACAACCTTATAATGTCTTTGTTACGACTTTAGATATACACAATGAGCTGGCATATGACGATGGAATAGTGACATGCAATAAACGACCTCACATTCCATTTCCTCTAATATTTCACCGTGTGGAGATGGGAATATTGCTGGCAAGGAAACTAATTCAAAACTTTACAAAGTCATAGAAAATTGCGCCTCTCGGAATTCCAAATATTATTCCTGATTAAAACTATTAATCAGTTTAGTGTAGTAAATCAAAGATTTATGAATATTTAAGACATTTTTGAATTATTAAATATTATTCTTAGGCTGCGTTCTTGCAAACCGACTGACTGAGAATCCAGATTGGACGGTTCTCCTCATCGAAGCTGGCGGAGACGAGAATGGTGTGTCGGACACTCCAATATTCGAGATGTTGAATCATAACTCTCCGAGGGATTGGAACTACACCACGGTTCTACAGAAAAAGGCATGTCTGAGTAAGTACCTTAGGACTATATTGGAAGAATGATTAGAATATACAATTGTTAAAAATAAGGTGTTGAAAAAGTGAATACATCTCCAAGTTGATTTTTATTGGTCAAGGAATTAAATCTTTAAGAGTTATGACCTCCTGCAGTTTGCTTCGCCAGTCATCTGTTGGCTGCTGCTGTTCTCAAGTTATGAAAGCCCAAGAAAGATCATAGGGTATATCTTCTATTCATATCAAATAGGGTTTAATACAAAAATAAATGTCACTCATCTGATGGCATATTTTTTTGTTACTTTTTTTTTTTTTGATTCTCCTAGTTATCTGATCTGTTGTAATCCTTGCAATATGGTCAGGATACTCTGGAGCTTCCAATCTTTATTACTCTTACAATATCAGGATTCTTATGCAGGGTGTTTCAGCGTTAAGTAAATAAAACTTATTTATTTGTTCCAAATACTTTATTAATTCAACGTGAACATTAAATTCATATTAAATGTTGCTCAAAGTGATTTCCTTGAGCATTAATACAGGCTCGGCATCATTCTTCAACAGCAGTAGTGGCAGAACTGCACTGGATGTGTGTTATTGTTTCACAAGATTCAATTATCCTTTTTCGTAAGGAATTAAGGGTCATTGACCGGAATTCCATAGACTTTTTCTTTAATGTCACCCCAAACAAAAAATCCAGTGGTGTCAGGTCTGGTGATCGTGCAGGCCAAGCCACAGGTCCTGCACGACCAACCCATTGATTGGGATAATTAACATTTAGTCATTGTCGTGGATCTCTTCCGTAATGTGCAGGACAACCATCTAATTGAAGCCACATGTCCCTTCTCAGTTGTAGTGGAATATGATCAACTATATCATAGTAATCATTGTTAAGAAATTCCAGAAATATGCCCGAATTAAGTCGAGGTGGCAAGAAATGCGGGCGTATTAAAACATTGTCTATAATCCCCAACCACACATTTAACTAAAACTACTGCTGACAATGATGCTCACGAATTGCATGGGGATTTTCCTGCGACCAGAGATGATTATGGTTCTGATTGAAGATACCTCTTCTTGTAAAGGTAGCTTCATGTGTCCAGAGATTTTTTCCTGAAAATTGTGGATTATGCTCAACCAGATTTAAGTACCAATCTGAAAAATTTCTTCTTTGCCGAAATTCTTGCGGTAATAAATATTGTACCCGTTGATAATGATATGGATGAAGTCCAATGAGAGTTCTTCATACTGGTTGGCGTAAGATTTATTTCTGCCCCGGCTCTTCATACACTGCCAGATGGATTATCATAAAAATATTGCAATATCAGAACGTGGTATTATAGCAAATGTACCAGTTTATCTAAGACGTTAAAACGTGGAACTAAAGATACACTTGTTTGGTAATCTTCTTTTCGGAAACCGTCTGGCATATTCACGACGGGCAGCATTAGCATTACCATTGCAAAAACAGTATTCAAATACCATATCGGCATATTCACCATTATTATAAATGGGAGGCATAAGGATGAGTATTCTGCGAAAGCCTCTTACAAACTGAAAAATGTTATTGAGAGTTCCCAATGCTAATTCCAAGTTGTATTTATCCAGTAGTTTTTATACAGTTAGGCATAAAAGGCCATATTAGTATTCTATCTAATCCATTTTCTAAACAAAGCATTGGCGGACAAACCTTCACTTTGAACAACATTTAATATTAATGTTAAGGTTTACGTGTAATTAATAAAGTAATTAGAACAAATAAATAGGTTTTATTTATTTCATTTAACGTAAATAATTCTAACCAACAAAAATCTTTAGGTGTGAATATCTCCTAAACAAAGCGTTTGCGGACATACCTTCAACGGATTTGTTCCCCTTGTTTTGAGGTCCTTAGTTCAGGTTTGCAATTTGGCCACTTATTTTATATAATATCCCTAATTTTGCGTTTATTTTGATAATCCATCACTATATCTGCAATGGACCAAATATTTGCCTTCATATGCACAGTTCAAATTCAAAAGATCTATTCATAATTGGTAATTGGTTGACTGTCGTGGATAATGAAGAGAAGAATAGTTGGGGTGCTCAGTCAAAAAGGACTTTTTGAAAAAAAAAGACACCTTTTTTGAAAAAAAGGACCTTTTTGACTGAGCACCCCAACTATTCTTCTCTTCAAAAGATCTATTAAGTTTAAATGCTTAGATAGACTAAAGTGACCAAGAGTGTTATTTTTTTCTTTATATTAGCATATTAGTAGCATATTCAAATTGCATTTGTGATCACATTGAAGGAACATTTTTGCCACACTTAACTAAAACACCAATTTTAGCCTAAAAAAATACCGTTACGTTAAATAGTCACTAGAATACACATTGTTAAATTGTGCAGGTTGCAAAGGATTTTATTAGTCAACAATGTTTTATTAGTCAACAACGAAATATCAAAATTTGTTTTGGCAAAAAGACCGTTTAAGGAAATTCTAAAGATTTAAGGAATATAATGTCAGAAGCATTATTAATAGCCTTAAAATTTTTTATCATTACAGTAATAATTAACGAAATCTTAAAATTGTTAATTTTACGATAATGAAGCTTTTAATGTTTTTATCAGAGCTCAAATAAAAATAAAATTGTGCTTGATATGTTCAGTGGAACCTGAACTTTGATAGTTTGTTACACGGAATGGTAAGCACGGGGCACCTTTGTTGGTTAAAGTTTTTGTGGAAACCACGCAATTGAATTGCTCAAATAAATTTTACAATTAAGTAGAATGCCACTTTTCAGTTATTGAGATTTTGATTTAAGTTTTTTCTGACTTAACGTCTGGTGTTCCATACAGCCTAACTAACTATCCATCTCAATTCCCATTGAGAAGGTCACAGATCTGTCCTATTTCTGTATTAAATTGAGTTTAATTTAATCAATTCTAGGTCATATTCAATTAGACTGATCTTATTTATAAAAGTTATTTACGAATAACATATAGAAAGTAAATATTAAAGTTGGATATATGTTTCAGGTAGAAATGGAACTTGCGCATATCCCAGAGGTCGAGTAATGGGAGGTTCAAGCACTATTAATGGCATGATGTATGTTCGGGGGCACAAAGAAGACTTTGAAGAATGGAAAAACAAAGGGTTGACAAATTGGGGCTATTCAGACGTACTCCCGTATTTCATCAAGGCCGAGAACAACACGGAACCAGGACTGGCCCATTCTAAATACCACGGCACCACTGGACCGTTCAATGTACAATACCCAGAGTACATCACTCCATTAAGAGATGACTACATTCAAGCAGGAAAAGACTTAGGTTGGGAAAAAATGGATTTCAACGAACCATACAAGACGGGCGTTATTGATTACGTACAATTCGCTATTGACGGCCCTTCTCGGGAAAGTGCGTCAAAAGCATATTTAAATCCAATAAGGAAAAGACCTAATATTCACATTATTAAAAATACGGTGGTCACTAAAGTCAATTTAGATAATCTAATAGCTAAAGGAGTTGAGTATTATAGAGACAGGAAGATTTATCAAGTAGCTGTAGAAAAAGAAGTAATTCTGTCAGCTGGTGCTATAGACACGCCAAAGATTCTTATGCTGTCAGGCATTGGTCCAAAAGATGAATTAGAAGGAATTAATATCAAAGTTATGAAAGACTTGCCAGTAGGCAAGAGCATGACAGATCACCCTCTGATTCCAATTATTTTCAAGCTAAATACCACAGATACTATAACTACAGATGTCTGGAAAACTAATACAAGTATCTTCGATTACGCGAAAGAAAGAAGAGGACCATTGAGTACAACTGGTGGCGAAGCCATGTCCTTCTTCAACCCAATAAATAAAGAAGGATTACCAACAGTTCAGATAATGTGGCACAGCGTCATCCAAGGAATAGAAAGTCAAAGAGAAAACCTTATTAGAGTAGTTACAGCTAATGTACATCCGAAAAGTGTTGGAAGCGTGAAACTGCAGAGCAACAACTTCAAAGATCCTCCGTTGATCGATCCGAATTATTTCGACGAAGAAATCGATTATCTAATGGTTGAGAAGGGAATAGAAACTCTATTTAAAACAATGGAAATGCCGTCGATGAAGAAGCACTTCCCAGAAATATACCACGAATCGCAGCCAGTTTGCAAGGAAAAAGTGGGTAAAGATTTTATCCGGTGTACAATTGATCAATATTCCCAAACAGTATACCATCCTGTGGGTACTGCCAGAATGGGAGGCGAAGAGGACGAAGAAGCGGTGTGCCATCAAGATCTCTCCGTCAGAGGTGTAGAGAAATTGAGAGTAGTTGATGCCTCGGCTATCCCGATGGTTCCTAGAGCGAACACGCTCGCTCCCACGATCATGTTGGCAGAGAAAGCAGCTGACATTATTAAAGAACATTATGGGTTCATCTCTAAACATGATTCGAAGCCAAAGTATAACCTTAACAAGGCGTAGTTGCAAGTAAGCAATAAACATTTAATTAAGTATTGTTTGCATGGTTACATAGTCATCTACAGTGCGTCATGAACCATGTCTGAAAATTAAAAAAGTGATATCAGACCTTAAACGCAACTGTCAACTTTATTGGTTTATAGTCCTATTCCGATAATAGAAGGAGTATCTAAGTTATATTTTGTGTTTTTAACGGTTATTTAAAAAAAAAAATGTTAAATCCAAGTAATTAATAATTGTAGCTTAGTAAAATTTAAAAAAAAAATCGAATACAAGTTGAATTTTATTAGATTACACCTTTCCGCCTGTAGTAAAATATCTTTGCTAAATATAGTACCCTAAACATTCGGTGCCACCGGGCAATGACGCTATCTTCTCCTCTAAAAAAAATAAATTCATTTCTTAGCCTGTTTTATATTATGTAATATATGGATATTATTTCATTCAACATTTCTCTAATACAGTTGGTTTAATGACATGCTGAAATTAATTTTTTAATATTTTTGTATTTTCCTTAATTTTTAACAAGTGGCAAGCACCCCTGAAGATGACCAGGCGTCCCCAACGGGCGCCACTCCAGTTCGGACGCTCCTGAGCCCCGCACTAAGGCCTAATTACCTGAGATAAATTGAAATTCAAATAATGTTGATTACTAAAATAAATTTTTATTTATAAAATATATCTTTGTAAAATAAGATATTTACTGTTGGTATGAAAAATGAAGTAAGCTAAATAAAAAAAAAAAAATAAATGTGGTAATAATAAATGATATTACTGTTAATGATGAATTATGCATTTTTTACATTTTTAACAAACGTTTTCGATGCGTCTTGTACATCTCCCTCCTCCCCCCCCCTCGGCCTTAGGGTGGGGCAACCGGAGCAATAGCCTAGCCACGGGGCGCCGACCTGGAACTGAGCCCGTTGGGGGCGCCAGCCGATCTACTGGGGCGATAAAAAAAAATTACTAAACGTATTAAAACCATTAATTTTAGCGTATCAATAAAGGAATTGTATTAGAGAAATAAAATTCAAATATAACATTATAGAAAACATTTTAAGAAATAAATTAAATTATTATAGGGAAAAAAGGGGATAACGTCATTGCCCGAGTGTCTAAGGCAGGCGCTGCTCTGGACACACAACCTCCAACTCTCTCTATCCAACACTACTAAAATTATTGATAGTGTTGATTAGGGTTTATGGTGGTTAATTGACGAGAATACTAACTGAATGAACAGAATCTTTAGGCTCCATCAGGGTATGACATCACTAATTCATCACATGAGGAAGGACATTTAGGAAGTCACCTAACACTTTAAGAATCAAACCTCATAATCGAAATATATGTAGAAAGTACTCGCGAGGTTTGGGTGAGCACCTTTAGATATTTGCTTGTTTAAAAACACAGTATTTATTCATTTAAGAAAACAGCAGTATTTGTAAAAAAAAAAAAAAACACCATATAGCAGTATTTGTCATAAACACAATCTCATTTTACCGAAGAATGTTTAGTTAGAATCTTGTCAAACCAAGATATCGATTGGTCAAGCAGCATACTAATAATCCTCCATCAGATTCTCAAACCTTGTTGAGAGGCGTTCCACAAGGTTCCTCCTCATCACCCCCCCTTTTTTTCCATCTATAATAATGACCTCCCGGTCTCTATCCTGCACTTTTAGTGATGAAGTACACTACCTAAAACTGCAATTTTAGACATGAAGTGGAATGTACTATCACTGGTTTCAAGTAATGCGAATTTTTCTTCGTTTTTAGTTTTCGCTTACGTTCGTTAAAGGATCATCATTGGAATTGATAAAAGTTGTTTTTATCCTATGCTATTGTGAAAATGGGTTGAGGTAGATTACATGAGTTTAACAATATAATGGCAATGTAATAGTGGGCTCCTGCGAACATTCATCGCACCTTGAAGATTTGATAAAATTATTTTATTAAATAACACAGTTCAAAAACCAATATTTAGGGAAAGAAATATATAAAGAAGTTATCGTAAATACATGAACCTGCAATCAGATTCAGAATCAAATTAAGAAATTTGAAAGTGTAAAGAGAGAATTGGAATTTGCGAAACAACTTATACAGAACTTCATTGAACAAGACATTTTAAAAAATGGGTACATCCTTTGTTATTTTCTGAGCATGTGATTCTTCAGCAGCAAGTGCTATGTTGCAATTATAAAGTGTTCTGTAAAACGATGAACAATCTTTTGGGTGCGTTGATACAGATTAGAAGTTCAGTAGGATTTTATTCTTCATTCATAGTACCTTCAGTGAAAACACAATCTAAGCTGTAGTCTTACTTTCTCCTTCTATAAGATTGTTAACAACATAATTATTAATTGTTTCACAGTCTTCATTTTTTGGACATGAAATTGTCGTATTGACAATTGTTTGGATCTTCTTTTCATTTACTACATCATTGCCAAATATGTAACTAACTAATTGATCAAGTGTACGATGGCACTATTTATGAATAGCAACACTAATTTGTGAAATATTCTGGTGAATTGGAATGTTCTTTTTAGCTAATTTTAAAATCTGTTTGCTAAATATTTGTATGCTAGCTGTTCTGATGTTTTGTTGGAGTTTTCTACTGCCGATGAGCTTCCAAAGTGGTGTTTTCAACATTAGCTTCAACGATTGTTGTCCTGTTTCCATTCCTTACAACTAATAAGACTTGTCGGGAGTCCTTATTAATCACAATAATTTCCCCTCCTCCCAAACAGATTTTTCGAATTCATGTCTCTAAGTAGGGTGTCTAATACAGTGAATGCATCTTTTGGTCATCGGCGTTTGCTCATTTAGCAGAATATGAGTTCACAATATCTAAGAGGTCTTGCAATAAGTTCATGAACCGTTGTAAACATTGGACATTAGCAGAATAATTCATTAATAATTAATTAAAGACTCAGTTGAATCACTAATAGAGAGTGACAAATATGAAAGAATCTGATCTGCTGGAACATTTAAACTTCCTACCTGATGGTACACCATCATATATTTTGAAACAATATCGAACTCAAGAACTTCTAGAGAAATAGAATTTACTTTAACTGAGGTGAAAACTAAAGTACTATTGTACTGTCATAATTGTCTATAAATGGTTTGAATACTCCTATAATTTTTTTTTTTATGAGTAGCACTTGTATATTTTCAAATGAAACTTTCCTTTTATAAAAACAGATTTCGGAGGTTTTTACCATTCAATTCAAACTGAAAAAATCTTACAGCACTTGAGTGGTTTATGTTACCAAGATCGATGGGTGCTGCGAAATGTGTGGGTTACCATGTTCAGTAAGAAAGGGAGACCCAGCAGTAGTACAAGTTTTCCATGGCTCATGAAGGGTGGTTCATTTTCTACAAAAAATAGTAGAAAATACACTCTATGCACACTTAGTTCAGAAGAAATAGGTTTGGGATACACCTAATAGAATCTCACCTGCATTGTTAATTGAATTCATGATTTTGTATGACTGAAATATAAAAGCGAAAAAAAACTGTATTATAAAATAATACAGAGAATAGATGACAAAAGTTATGGGGACGTATGACATAATATAATCACCAGGTAAATGGTAATAGCCTCACTTTATTTGACTTAAAGCCACGTTTTCACAATTGTATTAATTGCGGAAAAGTTACTTTTTTGTTTATTCATTGATATTTACAACTGTATTATAAAAAAAATACAACTAGTAAATGTGCACTCAGGAATATAATAACATGAAATCTCTTGTTGAGAAACTACCCACTGATAGCACTCAAATAATAAACTTACACAAGAAGATCACGAGACCACCTTCTTTTCATACGCCACGGAGAGTTATCAGGGATCGAGGACGTTTGAAACGAGAGTTTTCGGATGGTTCTGCAGTTTGTTATGGAAGGATAGGTATCTGGATTGGGCCAAATCGGAAACATATGGAACAGTAAGGTCTTTATGGCTGATTTTATTTGTGACAAAGTAAGGAGCGTTGAGAATTTTACGAAGGATTTTGGATTGTAAGGATTGGATACGAGAGGTATTTGATCGTTTAGTGAAACCACATAGCTCAACTCCGCAAGTCCAAATAGGTCTTATTTAGTCATGTATATTAGTCTTTTGTAATTAATTGGAAGTTTAGAGCGCTTGTCTAGTAACAGTAGGAGTAAGCGGAAACGTCGAGCAGTTTCTTGTCGTTTCAGCCTGGTATGAAATGAGTGAGACGTTTGTCCAGGTGGAGTCCAAGATATCGTATTTGTTGAACAGGGATAAGTGGGGTGTTATTAAAGGATACTGTAGGACAGGAGGTCATAGGTTTGCGACGCAGGGTAAAGGTAATTTGATGGGATTTATTGGAATTTATTTTAATTCTCCAGTTTTTACACCATTCTTCAAGGTTTGTGATATTTGATTGGAAAGTTTGGGATACAGTTGATGGATCATTATTAACAGATAGGATACATGTGTCATCAGCATACGTGGTGATGACAGTGTCAGAATGGGTTGGGATGTACAGATGTATAAACTGTGTAAAGGATAGGACCAAGGATACTACCTTGAGGAACAACAGCAGACTGGGAAAAAAGGGAAGAATAAATGTTTTTGTGATTTACTTTAAAGCATCTATCAGAAAGGTAGGAGCGGATAATGCGGAAGTATGTAGAAGGTAGGAACTTACGGATTTTGTACACCAGTTCCGGATGCCAGTTCCAACCAAAAGCCTGTTCAACGTCGAGAAAGACACCCGTGCAGTACAATCCGTGCTCCAATGCAGAGGAGACTACGTCCACCACATGATGACATTGCTGGATAGTGGAATGAGATGTGTGGAATCCAAATTGGTGGTCTAGGATTATGTGAATAGAATCTAGGATGGAATACAGGCGTATTAAGATAAGTTTTTGCAGTATTTTTCCCATGATGGGTAAAAGAGAGATAGGACGTTAATAGCAGTGGCGGATCCAGGAATTTTCTTAGGGAGGGGCGCACCTCTTTATCAG